AAAACAATAATCAATAATCATGATACAACCTAATTAAAATTAACGAAGTTGGAAATCGTGATTAACCTGAAGCATATAAATGCAAAATTTATTAACAGCCAACTGTTGGCAACAAAATTTTCAAATAAAAAGAAAGAAATCTGTGAGTATTCTTAATTTGACAATAAATCAAAGAAATTATAGACATGCATTCTCGAAGACCGAAACATTACGAACTTCTTTAAAAATTCAAATTGAATATTGCATATTTTTCGCACGGTATCCAACAATTCTCTTTGCGATACATTGTTGCATCAACTCTTATCGAAATAAAAGATAAAGCATTAAATGATTACCAAAAAAGAAAAGGGCGAATTTCGTAATATATGAAATTGAAATATATTCAATTGAAGATGGTTTTTGAAGAATTCGCCTTTTAACTCTCTACGTAAACCTTAACGGAAATTTGATTTGATATGAATATTTATTTTATGGTAGTCTTTCTTTTTGGCATACTCTTACATTTCTTTTGTGAAAATTTCATCGGCAATTCGGCACCAACATTGATAACAATATAACAAATATAGTGTTAAACCTATACAATGCGCGGGCATGTTGCTAGTAGAAGCAATGGTATGTTGTCACAACCGAAAGGCAAATGCTAACCCCTGGATTGGATCATACATATCATTTTCCTAGAAGTTGTTTTATGCGAAACAAATGGAGCCTTAATGGAAAAGACAACTTCCGGGAAAATATTTTCATGATTTTCCGGTGCTCGGTTTACTGATCTGGCGAGGCTCGAACTCGCCTGTGGCAAGTTGTCGGCCGTTGCCATGGCCAGCGACCGGCGAAGGAAGAAGAAAAAAAAAAAGAAAAATAATTTAAAAATTCAATTTGTTTTGGTAATTTTTCCTAGAAAATCAAATTGGATACCAAATGGCGGAAAATATTTTGCAGAACATTTTTCAGGTTTCAGCCGAATACCCAAAAATATCGTCATTTTCATGAAAAAAAACTTCCTGAAAAATATTTTTTAACAAACGTCACATTTTCTGTGAAATGAACGGAACAAATCGTATCTACAAAGTTCTTGCCCCAGTTACATCTCTTCCTTTGGAAGGGAGAGATTTGCAGGGATAAGGGTTCCACGTTGAATCACTGTCTTCCGCAAAAGGAAAAATGACATCGACCGCCATCGACAGCAATGATCTCTGAATACGTTAGGGTGACTTTGCTTCCCCTTGGAAACAGCATTGACGGCAGAAACGTGTCCGGACCGAATGCTCTTTCGTTCTGAATATCAGAGAGAGCGAGAGAAGCTGTCATCTCCCCCATTTTTTCCGGGGTCAATGCTGTCTCCTCCTCCCCCATTGTTTCCGGGTAGCCTTTTTACGTGTTAGAATTCTGTTTGCCTTTCTCAGCATCAAGCAAAAGATAGAACGGGCTCAACCCTTCAACCTTGATCTTGTCTTTCGCCTTTTGATCCACGAGAAGACAGAAAGTTTGCATTGATTTTGAGGATTTATATCGGTCGCGATAATGAAACTCGACGAGGATCTAGGACCTGACCGGCAGGATGAGTTCCAGACGGACGACGAAGAAAACCAAGCCGAGCGAAACTGTGATTATGACGACGATGACGACGTTAGCCAATCTGATGATCTCTCACCCGGCTCGCGAAACTCATCGGATAATTACGTTGACGTGAATACTCCCTCCTGGCCTCAGAGCTACAGGTTTCTCCTCCCCTTTTCCCCTATCTCTATGGCTTGTTGCCGTTCACATTCTAGCATATGTTTAGGATTGTTAAATTTTGAGAGTTTTCGTGGTTTCCTTTCTCTATAGTATATTCATCCAAGACACCGGCGGATTGATATGAACGGGTTATCACATGTCGTGTACAATATATTTCTTGAGGATCGAATTTTTCAGATACGTCCCATGTTTTCAAGGAAAAAGAAAGAGAAAACATAATGTATAAAGACGAGACCTCCAAAATTAGATTCTTCAATACCTTGTATAGAACATTTAGTTGATTTAAAATTGCAGGAAGTTCTTTTCTGGAGGATTTTCTGATCGAAGTTGGATCGAATTTGTGCTGCTGATATATCTTGTCATTTCATCAGTGCATGATCCGTTAGCAACATGAATGGTGACTAATTATTAATCAAGGATACCACATTGATTTTGGCAAAGCGAATGAGTCGAAATTGCTTTATTATGTTTTTCTTGCCTTGGAGCTTGACCTGAATTTGCTTACATTGCAGGCAGTCTATGGACATGTTCACCAGCGTTACTCCTCCTTCGATAAGTTTCTTAACGGGCTCTAGCTTGACACATAGAAGACTGCCACCTTCTGACTCCGAATCCTCCCTGCACAAACCGCTCGTTTCATCGACGAATTTAGACAAGGAAGGACTTCCGCTAACGACTCCTGTTCAGTCATTCACATCTTTGTACAGTATACTTTCTGTGCCTGAACTGCCGCCTCCAAGAGAACAGTGTTCAGTTGCTCAAGCCACGCTAAATGGTAAAACATCCAAAAAATAATCAGGAATTCCTAAATTCTTGTATCATAGGAGTTTTTGCAATTTATAGCAGAGAGAAACAATTGTGAAACTCCAGTAGAATCTGGCCATTCAGCCCCTATCAATCAAAACTTAATAGGTCCTTTCAAGCTTCAAAAGATGCTTATGGTTTTGTTTCTTTTTCATGTACCAGGTATAAATGTGCTGTGTGGCATAGGAACTCTGGCTGTTCCACATGCAGTCCGTGAAGGAGGGTGGTTAAGTCTGCTACTGCTTCTTCTCTTCTGTATTATCTGCTTCTACACTGGAATCTTATTGAAACGGTGTTTAGAAGGTTCTCCGGGACTCAAGACTTACCCCGACATTGGACAGGCCGCCTTTGGCATGTCAGGTCGCCTAGTAATAGCCGTGAGTACAGAAACCAACAGTGACACCCTGCTGGTTTTTACTTTAGTTTTGAGTATATTCAATTTTGCATGACCATTAGCATAAATATTATTGGGACTGAAAGAAGTACTGACATGTAGGTTTTGCTCCGATGCAGATAATACTCTACATGGAACTGTATGTAAGTCACATAGATTCAATCTAGTCCCTACTTTCTCCGAGATTTGGTGTCGGTTTTTTTTTATTCAACCACACGCAATCATTTCTTCTTTCATAGGCTTCTTGCATAGAGTATACAATCCTGATGAGCGATAACTTGGCCACAATGTTCCCAAAAACCCACATGTACATCGGAGGCATGTATTTGACGTCCCATCAAATCTTTGCCATCGCGACAACTCTTGTCGTTCTCCCAACTGTTTGGCTGCGGAACCTCGGCTTACTTTCTTACCTTTCAGGTTTGCAATTCTCGTCTCAGTAATTGGTGTTCCCGAACCACCCTCTTCTTTGATTCTCACTTGTTGGAGACCTGCTAATCCAAAAAGTGGCTACCTTTCAGCTGGAGGAGTTGTCGCATCGATTTTGGTGGTGATTTGCTTGTTATGGTTAGGAGTAGTGGACCAAGTGGGGTTCCACCCGAGCGGGACCATCATAGATCTTGCAAACCTACCATTCGCGCTAGGAATATACAGTTTCTGCTATTCAGGACATTCAGTTTTCCCAAATATATACTCCTCCATGAAGGAACCGTCGAAATTTCCATGGGTTTTAGTGGCAGCGTACTTTCACTGAATCTGTCATCCTGTTCTTTTTGTCAATAATTGCGACCTGTTAGTTATGTTCATGTTACAATTTATGCAGCATGGGCTTTCCTTCTATCATTTACATTGTTGTATCAGTATGCGGATTTCTGATGTTCGGGGACAAGATCAAATCTCAGTTCACCTTAAACATGCCCCAACAATATATGGCAACAAAAGTAGCGATTTGGACAACGGTGAGTACAGGAATCCTTCAATGAAAAAGAAGGTTCTCCTGCAAATGCACAACCTAGGAACAACAGGACAATGACATTCAGATAATATAAAATTAAATTGTTATCTTAGTTTCTTCAAATTTTTCTTTCTTTTGCAGGTTGTGAACCCAATGACAAAGTATGCTTTGACAATTATGCCGGTGGCATTGAGTTTGGAGGAACTCTTGCCCTCATCACATCGTAAATCTTACAGTCTGGCATTGATCATCAGGAGTGTCCTGGTAATGTCGATCTTGATCGTAGCACTGGCAGTTCCATTCTTTGGTAGGAACCTCATTGCTCTTGATGCGCATATCATTTTCCTGCTCTTCTTGGGTCTGCTCATTTGTTTGACCGAATATAAACTAAGGAAGTAACAAATTTAACTTGACAAACTATGAGAAGTTCCGCTGTTGATGCAGGTCTTGTGATGGCCCTGATGGGATCTCTTCTTGCAATGTTAGTGGTGAGTTGACTCTCCTTCCTGCAATATGAATCGCAATTTACACACAATGAGTTTCTAGGAACTCAAGATGTGCTTATTGATCTCTGAAAACAGGCAATCGTCTTCCCATGCGCGTGTTATCTCAAGATGCATAAGGGTAGACTGACCAAGTTGGAGGTAATAGCCCTGCTCTTTCCAAAATTTCATCAATTTCCCTTCTGAAATGAAGTGGGAAAATTATTGTCAATGAGATTATCAACTCTTCCATGCAGATTGCAGCTTGCAGATCCATCATTGCTATCGGCATCTCTTGCTCTTGTATCGGCACATACTCAGCATTCGCAAATCTGGTGGACCAGAGGGTCTAATTTGATGGGCTTGGCACTGTCTTATCAGTGATTCAATTTGGAAGACTCGATAGCACCCCTAAGCATTATTAGCTTCAACCCCAAGTGGAAGGCAATTTACAGGCATTGAATGGCAAGAAAGAAGGCAGCGGCTGGACATTCAGGACAATTTCAGAATCTACATGGGAGAAGTTTTGTGTTTGGCAAGATTCAGGGGAAAGATCCAAGATATACTTGTAGTGATGAAAAATGTGCGTAAAACATCAGTTGACTGAACTCTCTGTTCAAGAAAACTCTGAGGGTTAGGTAGATAACAAAAGACTGAGCTAGGTCTCCGCTTGTGCGGATCTGTGGCCGTAAGCATCCGTTTAATGAATGATGGATGATGCTAGGAATAGTCGAGGACATATTGCGAGTGTGTTAATTTGTATTAACTAGCTTAGAGGAAAATCTTATCCTGATGGAGAAGAAGAGATCCTGTTGAATCTTCCACGTGGTGAACCTGAATTAGTTGGGAACCAAACTCTTATTACCTGACAAATTGGGTATCTAAAATCTCAAATTTAACCCGATGTCGATCTAGTAGGTGCCGCATTAGTATACCTGAACCAAAAGTAGCCATTTGTCAAAATCTGTACGAGGTGGTTTCTATCAGGAACACAATGATACAGAAGAATTTAGAGAGACGTCTTTCAAAATTCGAGGTCAAGAATCGCGAAATTTGGTAGAGAGAAGAGTCTGATGGACCCTAAAAACTAATTTTATAAAGAAGTTGTTGTCATCATTTTGTTCAAATCTTCATTCTTAGGAACCGATGTGCATGTAACCATTTTTCCTTTCTAGGTAAGTTTTCTGTTGTATTGCTCAAAACCAAAAAATTATGGAGGACTACTTCCACTGCAAGTCAGTAAACACTTGTTCTCGGATATGGCTGTACAGTTTCACGTCTATGTCTTTACACTCACTTATCTATGTCACCCATACAAAATACCAAGTTACTATAAAATTGAAGCATGAAAAAGGAAACTAGTACAGCAGTAGCAGCAAACCCAATTATTGCAGCAACACTATGTCCTCCTCCCTAAACCATGTTCTCCATTTGGCTCATAATTCCTTCTCAGCAATAGATGTACTCAACCTCATCTCCTTAATGTAAGCAACCATTTGAACTCTTACTGAAAAAATAATACTTCCAATCACTTGATCAACGAAGGGACAAGGTCCAACATGCAAGACAGTTTCTTTCCTTCCAAATGGAGTAAATGGCCCTAATCGAAGCCATCTTCAGAATTCTTTTATGAAGGGAATTGCCTTTTAAGGATTGCATAACCAAGTAAACTCAGAATTCCAAACCCCTATAGCCTTTTGCACACCACAAAGATCAGCAGTGATGACCACACAGCCATAGAGAAGGACCATTCAAAAAATAAACGATCCCTTGTTTCAGAAGTGGAGCCACATAGAAGACAAGAATCTGGACCATCATCACGGTGCTGACTTGTTTTATCCCTTGTGAGCATCCTATTCCAAATAGGGATATCTGGTTTGAAAGAAATGAGCCTATGCCATGGCATCTTAACATTCCTACTTCTTACCAACTGCCAAGCATTTGCATAATTAAATTGTCAACCTTTAAGAACCAGTATAGTCTATTCTATCTGCCACATCATAGAAAGGTTGAACTGAGCCCCATAAAACGCCTCGACTTTTCCACCAAATCTTCAGTTCTTGCAGGTGGCCACACCCAACTACTCCCTTGTATAACCTCAGCCACTTTGGCATGAATATCTAGGGCAGAATCATAAACAACCCTGTAAGAATAAGCCTCAACTAAAACACCCTCGGGATGCCGATTGTCATGACAAAGAGAAGCAGAATGCGTATCACCAATTACGCGTCGAAACCACGTGAACGGTTTTGTTACAGTAAGAAGAAAAACACATGCATGTTCCACTCTTGACCTATATTATTAGGTCCCATCAGTCCTAGAAATGGGCCATGTGTCCAACAGCATCGTAGTAACCACAGAGCCGATCACGATCTCTTGCTGTTAAATGATTCGACACCACATGTGCAAGTTTCCAACATGAGTGTTTCCTAGGAGGGACACTCGTCGTCCTGGTAAGCAAAATGGGCTCAACATTCCTAATGCATAGAGAGAACAGTAAAGAGATATGGTCCGGCTTGACTTTTCTTCAGAATTACATTTACAATTCTGCCTTGCATGTGAGTGGCGTTGTGCAGCAAGATGAGCGGAGTATCCTGCTTGCTTTTTAGCTTTTTTTTTCTCCGTTTTAAGCTTCTTCATTCTGCCACCTTAAAGGCCTTAATAAATCAGCTAGAGGGATGATTATGCAGAATCCGTTCTTAAGTGTTAGTTCATGATAATCCACATTTTGAGTAGTAAATAATTTATTTATTCTTCGCTAAGCATGATCACTTAATCTGTTCAACAAATAAATTGTGATTTTGATAAGCAACATAAACTTTACTCGTATATGGTAAGTTTTTCCATATTCAACTTGACTTTCACCGTTTGCAGGCCCATTTCATCTCTTGTGCTTGGACCCCGGTGCCTAGCTGACATATCTAGGAACTCCCGCCTAAACCCGAGTCACGGCGGCCCAACGAGAGACCCCGTGTTCAAGCTTCGGATCCCAGGTTCGTGGTTGGGTCTCGGGTCTAGGCCCTCGGGACTCGGGTCTAGGTTGTGGGTGGGGAGTGCTGGGGTTGCGCATTCAGGTCAATGGATCCCAAGTTTGAGCATCGGGGACCCTTTTTTCGGCCATAGCGACTCGGATTCGGGTGATGGAGACCCAGGTCCAAGCCATGAGGACCCGAGTCAAGGCGAAAGGAACCAGGTCCAAGCCATGAGGACTCGAGTCTTGGCCACTTTGATATTGAGTTTGGCCGTCGTGACCCGAGTTCCCAATGTCGAGTTCCCAGGTAAATCAGATGGACAGTTAGAATCCGAGCACGCAAGAGGACCTTGCCATGGTAGAGGTCAAGTTGTCTACTGAAAAATCAATTCTTAATCTTGCGAAACTAACGAAATGCATATAGCCCGTCTTGATGGGAATAACATGCCTCACATCTCGTCCAGCTACCATATCTTGTTTTGTCCATCACCACATGTGCAATCTAAAGGTGCATTTATTTAGCGAAAAACTCAAAGATTTGTAAAACATTTTCCGGAAAATGATATCTAAATACGAAAATAACTAGCCTTAAATTATTATCGATAATAAAAATACTTTCTAATTCACCGTTTGGCCCCTCGTTTCAATTTGGGAAGCTCCCAATTCCCCAAATCGGGAGTCGATCTTAAAATCTCACCCAACAACTACTGACCAACACGACAAAAAGCTTATAAATGCATGGGCACCCCAGAAACGCCCCCACCAGTGACGTCGTTTCGCCGCTTTAGAGAGGTCTCAGTCTATATCCTTCCTCTTCCTCGAGACATCCATCCATCCATCCATCAAACTGTTCTCCTTCTTCTTTTACCCCAGAAAAAGAACAAAACAAAAGAAGCTTTCCTGTTTCATCCAGCCGGACTCTCTCAGACTTAAGTTTACAAGCTCACTGTGCCTGTCCCCGCATCACCCAGCACCCACATTCCCCTCCAAACTCCAAACCTCGAGAAAACATCTCTTCTTCTTCTTCTTCTTCTATACATGTTCTTGTTCTTCTCGTCTGTTACAGCGTCGGTATCTCCGAAGCGACAATGAATGACCAGCTCCTGTCTCTCCTGTTGTTGGTGTTCTTCTTCTTCTTCTTCTTCTTCACCGCCGTTCTCTTCCCCATTCAAGCTCAGCCCCAGGCTCTGATCCTGCCCCTCCAGACCCAAGAAGTCCCGCCCGGGTCTGTCCCCAGGCCCCCCAACAAGCTCGCCTTCCGCCACAACATCAGCCTCACCGTCTCCCTCACCGTGGGCACTCCCCCCCAGAACGTCTCCATGGTCATCGACACCGGCAGCGAGCTCTCCTGGCTCCACTGCAACCGGACCCCCGACTACCCCCTCTCCTTCGACCCCGCCCGCTCCGCCTCCTATGCCCCCATCCCCTGCTCCTCCCCCACCTGCACCGCCCGCACCCGCGACTTCCCCATCCCCGCCTCCTGCGACGCCGGCAACCTCTGCCACGCCACGCTCTCCTACGCCGACGCCTCCTCAAGCGAGGGCAACCTCGCCGCCGACACGTTCTCCGTCGGGTCGGGCCGGATCCCGGGCCTGGTGTTCGGGTGCATGGGCTCCTCCTCCAGCACCAACCCGGAGGAGGACGCCCGGAACACCGGGCTCATGGGCATGAACCTCGGGTCGCTCTCCTTCGTCTCCCAGATGGGCTTCCCCAAGTTCTCCTACTGCATCTCCGGGTCGGACTTCTCGGGGCTCCTGCTGCTCGGCGACGGCGGTGGCGACGCCAACCTCTCGTCGTGGCTCACGCCGCTGAATTACACCCCGATGGTCCGGGTCTCGACCCCGCTGCCATACTTCGACCGGGTGGCGTACACGGTCCAGCTCGAGGGGATCCGGGTGTCGGACGTGATGCTCCCGCTGCCCAAGTCCGCCTTCCTGCCCGATCACACGGGGGCGGGTCAGACCATGGTGGACTCGGGCACCCAGTTCACCTTCCTTCTCGGGCCCGTCTATGACGCCTTGAGATCCGAGTTTCTGAAGCAAACCGGTGAGTGAAAACGCTGCCCAAAACTCGTTGCCAAAGCAATCATAGAGTTCCCATAACGGTTCTTTTCCAAACAGGAGGTGTGTTGCAGCAATTGGATGATCCGAATTTCGTGTTCCAAGGAGCTATGGATCTGTGTTACCGGGTCCCGCTGGGTCAGACGGACTTGCCGCCCTTGCCGTCGGTGAGCCTGGTGTTTCGGGGTGCAGAGATGACCGTACCGGGCGACCGGGCGCTGTACCGGGTCCCGGGTCTAGCGAGGGGGAACGACTCGGTGCATTGCCTGACTTTCGGGAATGCCGACTGGCTGGGGGTGGAGGCGTTCGTGATCGGCCACCACCATCAGCAAAACGTGTGGATGGAGTTCGATCTCGAGAAATCCAGGATCGGTCTCGCACACGTGAGGTGCGATCTGGTCGGTCAGAGATTCGGTCTCGGCCTGCAGGGTAAGCTCCGACGCGGCTGATCGGTACCGACGACGGCAGCTATAGTCCTCCCGGTAAACCTATGTATACATGCAAAGTTTCATATCAGTTTTGTAGAAGTATGATTTATTAGGCTTGTATCTCTCAACAAGGTGGCTCTGAACTAAAGACTTCGAGTTTTCTTCTCAAACTCTTATCCTTTCTATACATGTACCAAACAGACACTGACTGGATTTAAAATGTCACAAAGGAAAGTTTGTGACATGTTTGAGATTTTCTCGGCCGACAACGGCCCATGCAATTTTATCTAGCTAAGGTATCCAGCTCCTCGAATTTTAATGGTTCTATGGAAATTCAATGGACTCGATTGGTCTAATACTTTACATGGGTACGAGCAATATATGACTTACTCGGGACAAAGGGTATTTTAGAATGACAGCTTGCAAATGACATTAATTGAGTCGGTAGCTTTTTTTCGGATCTATCTTCTGGTGGTGGTGTGGATCGACAACCCCCGTGGCCCTTTATGAAAAGGGACTTAAGAGGAGCATGATTGCAGGCAAAGAGAGCACGTGTGGTCGGCATCTTAAATGGGGCGTTCTAAATTTTTGTGCTCATATATTGATGTTACCTTTACCAAGCGTTGAAAGCATCTTCCTAGTTCCTTGAGTTGAAAAATAAAACTGGCACTTTATCATAGAACAACGTGCCGTGAGTGTTTGATAGCGCATTGTAGTAACCCAATACTTTCGTACAAAGAGACCATCGAGAGAGAGCCCGGATCTAAATTTGTCAATATATTTAGTTAAATTTACATTTATTGAAAAACTTAAATTAATAGATTATTGGCCAATTAACATATATAAATTACTCTACACCGGATCCATTCTCTAGATCAAAATTTTTCAATGCGGAACTTTTCTAGTACTACTTACACGTGTATCTCAACAATCTCCCTCCACTTCTCCTTTAATTAAAGTATCTTTCCGCATTAACATGGCTCAACTCGAATCTCCAATGCGTATTATTACGCAATAATAAGTCTCTTTTGCCAAATTGAACCATGAAGGCCGCCGAGAAAATTGCGTTGGTCACCAGTCCACCAAACACCGATACATATATTTGGGAGCGGGTCGCCAATCCACCATTGGATTTGATACCATTTTGTTACGAGTGTACAAAAGAAATTCAATACCTTCAAGAAAGAGTTCTAGTTCGAACTAGTCAATATTCTAGTTAAACTCACATTCGCTCAAAAGCTTAAATCGATAAATTGTAAGCTAACTAGGATATATTAATTGATCCACAACACACTAATTATCCGATGTGCGAATTTTTTAACACTACTCGCACGTGCATCTCACTAGTACGCTACTTAAATGATACTAATCGACAAACAAAATAATGAGTTGATAGATCTTAATCGTTAAATGACAATAATGCACAAAACCCCAAAGATTTCGGGGCTAGGACAGGTCGAGCCAATCTATTCACCGATTGAAGAAATTCTGGCGCGTACCCCATTTTTTTCCCGAGCAAGTTATCGGGTACAAGTTCGTTGTCGCCCAGTCTATAGCCGTGAATTTTATCTCGCCGATTCTCCAAACTTTATCTAGCTAATCAACTATTGAGAAAACGATAAGTCTTCGTTTTCCCTCACGTCTTAAAACTGTTCATGAAACTGTAGTACATGTCAACCCTCTAAAGAATTTTGCCCGTTGCCGAGATCGATTCCCATAACGAAACGGACGGCGACGTAACTTTAGTCAAATTAAATTTAACGAATCAATGAGGAAAAGGACACAAGCGATGGGCAAACAGGAAAAGGACAAGCCTCGTCCCCACCCAAATAAAAGTCGACAGGATCGGTAACGTCAGATGTCGTTGCTGTACACATTAAGGAACAACCGACAACTACCAAGATGTTCAACGCCCTCCGCGATCTAATTCTTTAAAGACTTCATTAACAAGGCTTCGTGTTAGGAGGTTGACGGCTACCACACAACCGCGCTCATTTACCAAAGTTCATATCAATCTTTTCTTTTCCTTTTTCTTTTTCCTTTTTCTTTATGTGAATCGAGCTAATCAACATTCCTTTTTTTTTTTTCATGACAGCCATGCCCTAACAAGTAATTTAAGACATATTAGCGTTTAAATTCCATAGTTTGCCCACTTGTCATTCGAAATTTTGGGTTTCCAGACACGTTTTGTCAAATTTTTCTATTGTTTAAGTTACATTCCTTTCGAACCCTAGTGCCGGAAGCAACCACATTTTCAGTGGGAAATTCATGCAATCAGTCTTAAATATATTGTATGGATATCAGTTTGATCTTAAAACTTTTCAATATTGTCAATTTAGTCTTAAAATTTTACACAAGATTCTAATGTAGTCCTTCCGATTAATTTTAACCGGAAATTTTTTGACATGGAGATGTGCCATGTAGGACACTCCGCGATGATGGGACCGCCACTGTAGCGATATTTGGCGAAAAATTGATCGAAATAATTACATTGAAATTTTGTATAAAGATTTAAGACTAAATTACGGGACCGATCAGGTCATTTTCTCCATTTTCAGGTTACATTATTTCATTTTCACGCCGTTTTCACGACAACGAACTTATTCTCCTGTCCTTGGAAACCCCTTTTGATGACTCACCACCTATTTTAACGAATCTGACGGGCGATTCTTGAGAAATCTTGACCATGACATAATAAATGTCGTCAAGGGGAAAAGAGAAAAATCAAGAAAAGCAAAGAAACCCACCGGTCATTACATTGGGACAGACGCATTATACACCGGCGTACGTGAAAATGAAACTTAACTAAACATCACTACTAACGTCAACCTCACTTGAAAACAAAACTTGAACTGCAGTCGCTGGATGCAGCTCTTGGTTCAGGCCCTAGGAGGAGCCATAGCCTGTCGGTTTGAAGATGTGATCTTTGGTCCTAATCACCTAATTAACGAACCACCGCTTCTCATTCAACTTCGCTCTGTATAAAACCCTCGAAGCTTCGTCCTCTCTCCCATCGCATCCAAGCAAGACCGTCTCATCCTCTTCTAGTCTCCAACATCACTTGCGCCGAGCAACATCTGATCTCGAGAACGAGGAGGAGCAAAAATGGGCTCTGCTGCTGCTGCTGCTGGTGCCTCAGTTTTATCGCGAGTGGTTCTGATGAGAGCTGCCTTCTTCGCACTGTGTGCTCTCGTGGCTTTGCCGGCTCTTGCGCAGGCGAAGCACGGAGGCGTCACCAGGCATTACAAGTTTGATGTAAGCAAAAGTTTTCATGAATAAAGTCTCTAAGGCTTTGATTAAGCTATGGCGAAGTGTGTGTGGTGATGCACGTTCTTTGTTTACAGATCAAGATGCAGAATGTGACGAGGTTGTGCCAGACCAAGAGCATTGTCACGGTCAATGGCCAGCTCCCGGGGCCTCGAATCATCGCTAGAGAAGGTGACCGGCTCTTGATCAAAGTGGTGAACCACGTCCAGTACAATGTCACACTCCACTGGTACGCAAAACCGGCAGCTCCATCATTACAATGTCCATCTTAATTCTTTTTTTTTTTTTTTCTCTTTTTTGGTTTTCGATGACGAGAAAGCCCACGTGAGATAGGTATATTACGGGTGGGTCCATAAGATACATTTTAGACGGTTGATAATCTCTTGATCATTAGCATTGTGCTTGCGAGGTTAGCGAGTATATTATCCAATTCCACATTTAAGCAATCGTCCTTATCTATCGACAGGCATGGAGTCCGACAGCTCAGGAGCGGGTGGGCTGATGGACCGGCATATATCACGCAGTGCCCGATTCAAACCGGCCAAACCTTTGTCTACAATTTCACCGTGACTGGCCAAAGAGGAACACTACTTTGGCATGCCCACATATCATGGCTCAGGGCGACTCTATATGGCCCGATCGTGATCCTCCCAAAGAAACATGCTTCTTACCCTTTTCCCCAGCCTTTCCAAGAAGTCCCCATCATTTTCGGTAAGCTGACATAGTAACTTGCTTCCTAGAAGATTGTAAATGGATCGAACCAATCTGAGAATCGGAGAATGAATTATTTCGACGATTTAAGTTTCGAGGTTCTCTTTCGGATGTTGTAGGAGAATGGTGGAAAGCTGACACAGAAACCATCATAAGCCAAGCCTTACAGACCGGAGGAGCGCCGAATGTCTCCGATGCCTACATGATCAATGGCTTTCCGGGACCCGTACGCAACTGCTCGGCTAAAGGTTGCGCTCCTTACAGGCTGACACTTTGATTAAATTGTTCAAATAATCCTGTTTTATTAAGAAAAGTGCGAATTACACCCGCTATCAGAGGTGTTTTTTGCTCGATTATCGTGATTTTACATGTGTGAGCCGCAATTATACTAAAGATTAATAACTCGACAAGCCTGGAACACGGTTGATGGGCAGTATATGTGTTTCCACACATCTGATGCGTACATTTGTCTGAAAATCCTGTCATGTGTATTCTCTTTCTTATTGAGTTCAATTTGAATTCTGCATGATTATCTCTTTCTCATGCCATTTTTGGATTGACAGTCGGTTTCATAACATCTTGTTCAGATTCGTTCAAGCTTAAAGTGAAGCCCGGAAAGACCTACCTCCTTCGCCTCATCAACGCTGCCCTCAACGACGAGCTCTTTTTCAGCATCGCGAACCACACGCTCACCATCGTAGAGACCGATGCAACTTACGTGAAGCCCTTCAAAACTCGCACCCTACTGATCGCCCCGGGACAGACCACCAACGTCCTGCTCCGAACAAAATCTAAGGCCCCGAACGCCACATTCATCATGGCGGCTCGGCCCTATGCTACCGGCCCCGCCACCTTCGACAACACCACCGTCACTGGATTCCTCGAATACACTAAACCGTCTTCACCCTCAAATCCTAAATCATCCAAACTGCCTCTCCTCATGCCAACCCTACCGAAATTCAACGACACGGCACTCGCCACGAAATACACCCAAAAGTTACGTAGCCTAAACACCGCCCAGTTCCCGGCAAAAGTACCCCAGACAGTGGCCAAGAAGTTCTTCTTCACTGTCGGCCTAGGGTTGAACCCGTGCCCCAAAAACCAAACCTGCCAAGGTCCTAACAACACCATGTTGGCCGCTGCAATAAACAACGTCTCCTTCGTGATGCCGAAGACGGCCTTACTCCAAGCTCACTTCTTCAAGCAGTCCAACGGGGTTTACACTACTGATTTCCCCGCCAACCCGCCTTTCAAGTTCAACTACACAGGTACGCCACCGAGCAACCTCATGGTGACTAGCGGCACGAAGGTGGTGGTCCTGCCATTCAACACGACCGTGGAGCTGGTGATGCAGGACACGAGCATCATCGTTGCGGAGAGCCATCCTCTTCACCTCCATGGATTCAACTTCTTCGTGGTGGGTCAGGGTTTCGGGAACTTCAACCCGCAGAAGGACCCAAACAAATTCAATCTGGTCGACCCGGTAGAGAGGAACACGGTGAGCGTGCCGTCCGGTGGGTGGGTGGCCATCCGGTTTCTTGCGGATAACCCAGGTGAATATACCTCTTTCCATGCAAGATGCTAGTATTAAGCTCATGAAGGTTTTATGTTTCTGTAAAAAGTAATGTCATATCAGATATAACATATCTATGAAGAGCGATGCACCAAAAGTTAAGGTCGTCATATGTTATCATCTCTGCATTACTAGAAATATGGCTGATATAAGTACGAACTATGCAAGTACTTTTATATTTCCGGCATCAATCTGCTAAACGCGAAAAATTATATGCGAACGTGTAGGGGTGTGGTTCATGCATTGCCACTTGGAGGTTCACACGAGCTGGGGGCTGAAGATGGCATGGGTCGTCATGGACGGAAAGGGTCGGAAGCAGAAGTTGCCGCCGCCGCCGGCCGATCTACCAAAGTGTTGATTACTTTATCGTTATTATTATTTTGATTTCCCTTTCTAAGTGCAATTTTGCATTAGCTTTTGCCCTGCTCTTTGATTCTTTCTATGTATTACTTAAAGTTGAATCTCAAATCTCGACGAAGCAAAGTTGGCTACCCTTTACACGTTTCTCCATCCCAATTCCTCTTTTCATCCATCTCTTCTTCGTTTCTCAATAATGCGATAGCTAAGTAGCTGACAGAGCATAGCTTGTGTCTGATGGCATGAAATTAAGTTTTCATGAGATGGTGTGAAGAAATTCCTTGGGATGAATTATTGGAACTAACCCCGTCCATAGGGTGACTGGCTGATAATGGCAGTAACCTCTCCTCGCATTTGTAAAAATTAAACAAGGCCAATTGCCAAATGGAGTTCCGTCAATAGGGCCACGTTGTATGTTGTGAGCGAGTCTCCGGGCCAATTTGTATCTTAGGCAGTTGTCATCTCGTATTAAAAGACTTCTTGCTTTTGACACACCGGTGCTATGGTTCAAATTAACGTTCCGTATCATGCGCGAGACTTTATAGTAACTCACAAAGCAATATTTTCGTTCAAGTCACTGAGACAACGTACTGACGCCTAAACTTGTTTTCATGTCCAGCATCAATATTTTTTTTATGAGACCTGAAGCATCAAATAATTTGGTTTTTGTCGTCTTCTTTATTTCATCGACAATGGCAATGCTATTCGGAATTCTCACTTAATAAATAAAAAATGAATAAAGTTTCTCGCAACCCGAGAGCGCACTGAGGGTAAAGACTAAATTATTTCGAGGCTCATTCAATATCTTGTAAAGCCTAGCCCTTCAACGTATGCAAATAGTTCTAATTCGGAACAATTTTCATGTAAATGATGAGATTTGACTAAGGATCTATTTATTTCGCTGAAAATAGATAATTTGAAAATTATTTTCTCAAAAATAATTATTTGTATCGCTTATAAAATAAATAAACGAAAAATATTTTCATCATCAATGAAAATGTTTAGACATAAAGGTTCCGTTTGTTTCGCAGAAAACATTTTTCAGTGTTTGGTTCACTCGGGAAAATGAGTCCACGGAAAAGTTATGCTTAAATTCAGGAAAATGATTTCATCCTTCAAATTAGGAAAACATTTTCCAAAATATAATTAAGTATCGATGCTTGGACTCGAAACTCTGCGTTTGGACACAAGAATCCCAAGATTTTCAATATTAGGATCTTCAAAGGCCGAGCCCGGGCCCCTAACACCCACACCCGGATCCATCGAGGCCGAGCCCGAAGCCCTAGTGCCCATGCCATAAGGGCAGTCCTCGAGTCCCCAACGGTTGAGCTCTGGCTCTTGACACTCAGGCCTAGGTCCACAAAGGTCATGCGTGGATCCTCGGAGCTCGAGCTCATGCCCTTATTAATGAAACGTTCGTTATAAAAATATTTTTTTATTAATTAACTATTTTAAGGGATATAAATAACCATTTTTAAGAATATATTTTTCAAATCATCAATTTTTCCCAAAAAAAAAAGGCCACGATCCCATGTCTGATAGATAATAGGGGAGACCCTCCAGGCGAGAGCTCGAGCCTCAGCCACTTTAGCGTTCTTCAAAGAAATGGCCGACGGCGGAGACGCGGTTCGCAGGGGAGCTCGAGTCCCCGAGCGACGCCGATCAAGTACCCCCCTCCAATCACGCTCCGCCGTGCCGACACGCTCCGTCCGGCCTCGTAGCTCGCGTCGTCTCTGCAAATAAAATAACACCCGACAGAGCGAAAAAAGAAATGGGTCGTACGTTAAGAGGACAGCAGACACCCTCCACGTTCCCACAGCATCCCCCCGCTCGTTTCGTTCCGCTTCGTCGCCTGGAGATTCTTTCGGCGCCCGTTTTCATGCCGCGATGGAGGAAGAGAAGGCTAGCCCATCAGACTCGAGCAGGTTTGGTTGCGTTTTCTTGACTTAAAACCTTTTGTCCTTTGAGTGCCTTCTTGTTATGATCGATTATGGCTGCGATTTTGCGTTCCCTGTTTTGTGGGGGATTACTCATGTGGGTCGTAGCTGGGTTTCTGCGTTGGAGGGGAAGTGATACTTGTTGGATTTACTTGTGGCCGTTAGTTGCTGCTGCGGTTGTAGCTCAGCCGCTCTGCTTAAAGACGGAAAGTTCATAGCTTGAGCAGGATCTGAAATGTGCCTAAAGTAGGCGTTTAGGGAGAGATTGGAGACTGGGTTTTACTGTGTACAGCTTGTTGTGGGGGTTAGATTTCACAGTTGCAATTGGTATGGTTGAGAAACGTTTCCGGCGACCTTTTTATTTTGGTTTTTTAGGAATTTGTTATAGAAGATGCCGGTCGGCTATCGTAGGAGGAATGCTGTTGATGATGCCTTCGACTGCTTCTTTGCTTGTCGGAGTTGTCAGCTGACCCTTGTTCTCGTACCAATCTGTATTTAAGTGATTTTTCTTTTTGCTCCAGATGGGAATAAATTAGTTTGAGGGACGGTGTCTGACTATTTGAGTGTCTCGTTCTAAAATAATTTTGACGTATGAGATTTAATGCGTGCATACGTACATGTGTACCGCGCGCGCGCGCGCATAGCGTGAGCAAGTGAAACGACCCAAAATCTTTATCTTCATTCTTTAAATAGCAAGCCAACGATCCATTAAATGCTTTGAGAACTCAATTTCTGCTTAGTTTTCGACCGACTCTACCAAGTCCTTTGCAGCAGAATTGCTCTTAGACTTGCAGATTGACCACCTCATCAATGCGCTGTACAGCATGTATTTTTCCCCAATTTCTTTCATGTAGATGTTCAACCCCTGGAAAGTTAACCGTGTAAGAGGTTGGGGAACAGGACGTTATTGTCAATTTTCCTCCAACGGAGGTTCCTCCTCCCCCCCCCCAATAAACTTTAACTTATTGCAATGGACAAAACTCATGATATCTTATGTTGAAGACTCCTTTACTAACTGAGGGCCATGATTAGATATCTGTGCAATTTCAATTTTTTTTACCTCTACGCCAATACCTTAGTCATTTTGTAACTGAAGGAACAGTCGTTTTTCTCTTCATCTTCACTTCAATCAAGATTCTGTTTTTATTAGAGAGCTAATTATTTTGATTATCATAAGTTTGTTTCTCAGGGATTAGTTGAGCCAAAGGTTTGGATACCCATGTGGTCCAATAAAAGACATAAGATTTCTCCTGATCTTCTGATATTTGGTGAATTAAATGAAACCTGGTCAAAGGAAAACATTTTCCTAGTCTCAACCAAGTCAAAGGAAAGCTGTGGCGACCGTTTTGTTGGTTTTGCCTAAACCAATTCAAGTTCATCTCCCACCATAGTGTTCATTCAGTTGTTGCCATCAACCAGCACCTTTGCCTTTAGCGATAGCAGCGCACGGCCCCAACATCAACCGACCAGTCATTTCCTTGGGCACTTTAGACTCATTATCATTGCTAGTATAATGACCTACTGGCAGATGACCGTTAACATCTCCAACACCACAAACCTAGACCCCTAGTCATACCGCTGCTGCTGCTGCTGCCCCTTCTAAGCCAGTTACGTATCTACCTCTGAAAGCTTTCAAAAGGAGGAAAAAAGTGCATGAGATATTGTAAGCTTCTGGTGAATTATTTAAGCAAAGAGGCTCTACTAACCTTGCCCAAATAATTGCAAAAAACTTCCAAAGCTAACGTTAGAAGCCTTTACGAGTTCTAGTGTTGCATGAAAATCCAAGTTCCTGTCATATGCATGTCTATTGTGGATATACTTGCAATGTGGCTTTGCTTTTGTTCTTCTTTATAAATTCTGTACTTTCAAGTTTCGGGGCAAGTCTTTTTCTGTCTTGGCAACGAAGGAACTTTAGAGAATGTCTTTTTTGAATTATTTTTTGAGATTGTAATCATGGTGCACAGCTTTTGTTTAACATAAACTCTTTTTGTCGTGGTGATTTTATATCCTGGCACTGCTAACAGCTTTAAAGCAATGAAAGCTCCAAATATTGTTGATTTAAGGAAGAAAAGGAAGCATCTATCTGAGCATTTTGACTTGCCTCGACCAAAGCACAAGTGCTTGGATGGAGGCTTTGATCCACTTCTGCTCTCCGAGTATGATGGAAACCCAGATATTGAGGACTTGCCTGCATCCAAAATCAAGAGGCTGACTGAGGGAAGTTGCAGTCGTGATGAATCACAACCTGAATCAGCAAAAGACAGCAACAGCTTTGCTGAAGAATCTGACACTGGTATGTCTTCTTATGGTGGGTGTGATTTAGGCCCAGATAGTGCTGTGATAACCAGTGGAGCTTCCACTTCTTCTGTGAAATGGGCCTGGAACAGTTCACAAGACATGCCTCATTTCTCTAGTGCTGAAAAAGCTTTAGTGAGAGTTGATAACGACGATGGAGGTGGGAAGCATGATCTTCCCGATCAAGACAGTGAATTGCAAATGTTACTTGAAGAGCAGCTTTTAGAATTTGGATGTCATGTGGGATACACATGTGAGTATGCAAATGACTGCTTGGAGACTTGTGCAACTAAAGAAGTAGAAGACAGTATTTACTCCAATGCTTCAAATCCAAGTAATCCTGTTCTACTTCAAGATTAATCTTGTAATGTGTTTTCTGTAACCTTTTCACCTTTTTTCCTTCTTACTTTGTTGGTGGGTTGTTTTTCTTTATATTGTCATTATTGTTGTTTTTATCTTATTATTATTTTGTTGGTGGGAGGGAAAGGGCGTTTCACAATGATACATGAAGATGCCGCAAGAGATGTTTTCTCGTTCCTCTAAATTTACTCAGTTAAACTGCTCCATGGAGAAGAAAAAAGCGTCAGGTCCCTGCATCCAATTCTGTTAACTGCAGTTAATATGTAGGAACTTAAATATATATGGTTTTATCTCACTAAATTTAATCAATTCTGGCCATATCTTGACCCTCCTTCCTACCCCACCTACCGCTCTTCCTTTGAAGCAAAAGTTTCTCTTATTTGACCCAACATAGATAAAGGTAAAATAGTTGATAAGCCAGGAGGTAGCCAAAAGTTTTATAATCTCTCTCTCTCTCTCTCTCTCTCTCTCTCTCTCTCTCTCTCTCTCTATTTAGTCCCTGAAAGGTTTAGGGACTTAAATATTCCATAAAAAAATTACTTAATGAGAAGATTGAATTGGAGGTTCCAATTAGCTAATACAATAGAGGGCGGAGTCTATTCCATTTTTTCATTTTCCTTTCTTGTGACTTGAAGGCTGTGGTTATAGCTTTTCTACTTAGTTTTTTGCTAATTTACCGACTGATAAGTTTCTTACTCTTCATTGCAGATACTCTCCATGGGACTAGAAAACCGACGATTGATGAAGAATTTGAAGATTACTTCTCCACGCTCATGATGTAGGGAAGCTTAATTGAACTTGTAAATATACATAACTGAATTATTGACTTGGTTGATTGAAGAGACGATGCTCCTTTTACACGATTGCACTAAATTTTCTTCACTTTGGAAATTAGGGATGCGGATTAGCTTGTGCCCTCTTGCTATTTATGTTCTGAGATTATGTGCAGGTCCTGCACTCTTCAGTTTCTCCCTATCTTGCTAGACCTTTCATTATGTGTCTGTGCATGTTAGGTACATAACTTCTCTCTTTCTGTGAATTCAAAACTCATGACATAAATGAGCGGTGCAATGTATAAGATCGAATGTTCAATCCCATATCCTCAGCAACTTTGTGAGTGATCTCAATGAAGTGAAATATCATTAGTTTGTCTACTCTCCTTTGTTGTGTTTCCATTTTAAATTAAAATCACTAGGCTGCATGGTTTACTAAGTCGTGCATTCTCGTTTTCTAGATTTTCGGTGTCTAACCATTTCACGGTTTGTCTTCGGTTCTCTCGACATTCGGTACTCACAAGCAACTTTTGGTGGGTCATCGTGGATGTTGTTTCATGGTTTCATGGGTGCTATATAGTTCCATTCCTGCTGCAGCACATCCCAAAAAGGGATCCAACATCAATCTGAGCAAGAAATCTTTCCTTGAGATCATTTGGTGTTGACAAGTTGAGGCCATCTTTTGCAGCTTTGAAGTTTGAAGCAAGGAAGATGTTGAGGCAAACTGCCTCTGATAGGATACTTTAGTGGCACCCATGAATCCATCCAGAACTGCAGATTAGAACTTTGTTAACAGATTCCGGTAACTTGGATCATGTTTGTTTGTGTCATTTAGATGATTTTCCTTCTGAACAAAGATAGGCCTGCTGCTTGTTTGAGATTGAAGAAATTGCTGATCACGATGTGGATGTATGCTGATATTAATGCTATGATGGATACTCTTCTTCTTGCTGGAGAAATGTCCAAGTACACGAGAACAACATTCTGAAGCATTACATCTTTAAGAAGTCATCAAGCAAATTTGCGCGGTAACAGGGTAGACGCTAGCAGAAACTCGCAAACACGACAAATATGCACGGCAACAGAGCAAACACTCAACTTAGATACCGACTGAACGGAAGCTGCGCGTATACCTATGTCGGCCCGCCTTTTGAATTTCTACTTGTCAGAACGCTCACAAAATCTTGATCGGTCCAACTTAATCTTACATCTAAAGAACACCGTCGAGTCGACGCAAAACGGTGGTCCCTTGCGAATTGCAACGCAAAAATCAATTACTAATGAAAGCTGCTCACATTTTGGCAGCCAATCAAGGAATGTCTCTTAGAGAATCCTACGCGATCCTTTTCGTTTTTACAATTATCTTGATTGAAGAAAAAAGGAAACCCACTACCGCTAATCTAAACGACCAAACCAATCAAGACTCGAATAAACAACAGAAAAACAAGACACAGCTCGCTAAGCACAAGCTTCTCTTCTGGGAGCCAAGGAGAACAGAGCATCGAGATCCGGCGGCTGAAAGTACCCGTTCTTCGGCGCGTCCCTCGCCTTCCCGCCGGCCGGCATCTTCTTCTTCTTCTTCTTCCTCGGCGGCGGGGGACAGACGCTCGGCGTCGGAATCCTGTGCTCCTCGTGCCTGGGCGTCGCGCAACCTTCCTCCTCCGCCATCACCGTCCCGCTCCGGACCCCGAAAAAGGGGCTTCGAATTTCCGAAAGATCTTCGAAACGAAAGGGAAGAAAGAAGCTGGAGAAACCCGAGAGAGAGAGAGAGAGAGAGAGAGGGAGGAGTAGAAAAACAGAGGACTTCGCTGCGGTGAACGAAGAATAACGAGATTTTGAAAAACGCAAAGAGCTTGGAATCTTCGGTGGGGGGCGGGGGTGCGGCTTCCGCGAATTGAACCGGGGTGCGCTGCTGGTGGGTGACAGCCAAGCGGCGCGCACGGACAGCTGACGTGGCCCATGTTGTCTCCGTGCCTTCGCACGCCATTCAAACGCGGCGGCGCCGACCATTTCTTGCGCGGGAAAAGCTCCTGCCCACGTTTTTTTTGAAGCGGAAGAAGCATCGTGTTCGGGTTCGTGTTGTGTTTTTAGAGGGGGCGGGGGGAAATGAATTTTGCAGGGGCCAGATGGTCGTGTCCGGATTGGCCGGCCGCTGATGTCGACCGACCCGGGGGCGCGACGACCGACTTGACCTCTCACCCTCGGACTCTAGCTCCTGGAGATGAACGTGTGCATTTGTGAATTTCTTGACGTGGCATGTTCCAACCGATTTGGAACTTGAGACGTCGCAATTAGAGCAAGATTATCCGAGTTTTCAATTTCGCGTTTTATCGACGAAAGAGAATGTTTTATCCTATCTGGGAGGTTTCATTCCCGTTGGCGATTGAATGCAACAAATGGTTGAAGCTCATTTGAAGTGAATTCACATAGACTTTGATGGAATGTTTTTGAGAAACAAAAGTTCGTACTTGATAGTTGACACTAAAGGCGAGATTACTCTTTACATTATAGAGATTACTAATTTTTCTTTTCGGGTGGTTCACTTGTAATTGTATTTTTTGTTTATACGTCCACGTACTATACTTCAAAAGATTTTCTGTTTAAAAGTTGGTCATATTTGGGATGGGAATATAGTCATGAAGGATTGCATCCATTAATCTTAAAGAAAAGTATATAGATATATTTTGCACACAAAAAAAAAGAGTAATCCTCAATTTTTGGGTGAACGTATGTGGTTTATTTAGTGCACAATTGTAACCTTAAACATGATTTCCAGAAGAAAATCGCTGTGCTTATTGCATGAACGAAGGTCGAAATGCGCGTAAAGTTTCAGCTAGCGATGGGATTTGTGAAGGTCTAACACGTATCAATGACAAAGAATTGTGTGTTAGGAAAAACAAAATTCTCCCTTAAATTGGCCCCAATTGTGTGTCATGCATAAAGAACGGACATAACTATAAGAATGTGTATCTTTTGGGTGATAATTTTATGGTGGACATTTATAGTAGAAATTTGAAAACAAATTGGGCAGATCTGAGCCCTGCCCAACTCTCGAATAGAATCTTCGAATTTGAGGGATCTAAGCCCTATCCAAATGCACAGGATGCGCCCTTGAGATCGCTCGAAAAGGTGAATTAGCAAACGTGTGCAAAAAGTAGCTCGGATGCTATCAAATTCTATCAAAGGACTAAACTAAACAGATAACCAAAACAAGCTAAACCTTCCCTCTTCTGCTCTCTCTCTCCCTCTACTCCTAAGCCCAATTATACCGTCACCGTCGCCATCTTGTCGTGGTGTCCGCCGCCGCGATCATCTTCACGCCGCCATCCTTACTGCCACCGTCGCCTTCCTCTCTCTCTCTCTCTCTCCTCGACAACAATGGACTCGTGCATTCTCCACCACCGCTGCCACCGACGACAGCTCTGGCCACGGGGCCACCACCAAAGATCGCCGTATATAACAATCTCTCTCTCTCTCTCTCTCTATAATTGGACACCACTCAGCAGCGTGTAGATCTCAGATCTGGGCGACAAGCGCATGATCTGGAGGAGGAGACATAGCGATCAGTAGCAATGCAATGACCCATGAGATCCGAAGGAAAAGACACGGAGAGGCAACGGCAGCGTGGGCACAGATGGAGAAGTAACCTGGTGGCTGCTTCTTAGAAGGAGAGAGCGTGAGAGACGAGAAAGGAGTTGGGATTTGGTGAAAAAAGTAACTTAGGTCCGAACGTGTTCCCGACCTTTTTGTCTAGGAATTTAGGGCATTAGCAAGACTCATTGTGGATCCTAGACTTCCGAAGTGTGCGCATAATTTCAAAGTAATTGATACGGCCAATTTAAGCCGAAAATCATTGGCGTGACGGTCCAGTTACGCGGCACATCCGACGGCCGTGAACAATGTCATTTTCAATTTTTTCTAAAATTTTCAGATTTTTTTTTCTTTTTTTCCTTTTATTTTCTTTCTTTCTCTTCCTATTCTTTCCAATTTATTGTTCATCTTCTTCCCTCCGCCGATCATGAGGGCCTCGGAGATGGCCAACGAAAGTCGGTGACAGCCTACACGCTCTCTCCCAATGTGATCGACGTGGGCCGCGACGCCCTCGCCTGATCTAGGCGAGAGCAGGGTATGCAAGCCCTCACCTGTGGCCGATGAGGGCTGGTCAAGTGCGTCGTGGCCCTTGCCGATCACATCTGGGAAAAGGAGTAAAAGATCCTTGGATATCTATTTTCTTTTCATTTTGGTGGAAACAAAATACTTTTCCTAACGATTGTCTCAAATAGAAATAGAGAACGATATAACTAAGAATACTCTTAGGCTCCGTTCGTTTGGCGGAAAATATTCTCTTTTTAGAAAATATTTTCCCGGAAGTCATTTTCCTGGAAAATGTTTTCCCGGAACATAATTTTCCGGTGTTCGGCGACCAATATGAAAAAGTTTCAGAAAATATTTTTCGTCAGCGACCGGCGACCGACGGCGACGGCGGCAATCGGTGGCGGCCGGCGGCCAACGGTGGTGAGCGGCGATCAACTTCCTCTCCCACGGAAAACATTTTCCCTCCCATGGGCAATTTTGCCTTCACTTTGGGGGAAAATGATTTCTTTTTTGTGAAAAGAGGAAATCATTTTCCTCAAAACAATGAAGGATTTGAGGGTGGGGAAGGAAAATGTTTTCCCACGGAAAACATTTTCCGCCCCCGAACACCGGAAAACACGGAAAATGTTTTCCGGAAAAATATTTTTCCGCAAACGAACACAGCCTTAGAATACCCTACTACAGGCCCGTGCCTCTGGTTGGTGACTGGTAGAGGGAAGAATATGAATAGTAGATAATGAAAGAATAGGAAAAAAGAAAAGAAAAAATAATAATTACAAAAGAAAAAAAAAGATAAAATTGAAAAATCTTATAAAAATTTCAAAACGATGTTGTTACAATAAAAAAAAAATAGTCCACATCAGCTATAAGTCATGCCACGTAGGACGGTCGGCACTAATCAAACTGTTACGTCAGTGATTTTCGGCAAAAATTATCGAGATGGGTTACATGGGAAAGTCGTCAAAAGATTTAAGACTACATTGACTAAATTAAAAAATTTAAGATTGAATTAGTAGCCTTACAATAGATTAGGATTTTTTGAACAATCATCCCAAAAAACTAGAGAGATAAGTAACTAACAAGCGTATTTCTTGCGTTTTT